GCCTCGCACGAAGGACCTATCCACATCATCATTTACCCAGAATGCTTTGTGTGTAAATAAAATGGCCCCGTCGGTGTAATATATTTTTTTAACTTTTAGTTTAAAAATTATAAAAACTAAACAGCCTACAGTATTTTTACAGTCTTTATTGTGCAGTTAAAATAAATGTTTATTAAATAAAGTCTAATGTTACAACTAATGTTGGATGCCTTTAAAGTTTGACATTAACTCCTCCACCTTTAGCTTGTTTATGCAGGAGGTGAAACAGGGACACCAAAGGAACACATTTATGGAATAAACTGGGTCGGTTCAATTATTAAACTTTTGTTTTGTGTTCCTGTTTCACGACTTTAGATTTTATTCTTATATCTACCYGGAACAACAAATGAACCGTAGCCTATGAGCTAATTTCGGCTCAAGTTGCTTCATGATGCAGTGGTAATCCGGTGTCTTGGTGAATAAATAAATGAAATAAAGCTCTCAGACACCAGACACCCCGCTGCTGGGTTTAATAAAGAATGTCTGAGATGTCTCACGTTGTTGCTGCGGAGAAACGGCTCGGTGTTCGGCACCACGCCGGTGGCGCTGACGACAAAATCGCAGCCGAATGTCTTGCCGTTGGTGAGCTGGACGTAAACGGGCCAGGATCCCTCTGAGGACGTAAAAAAAAGGAGGATTGAGGTAAAAATGCAGGGGAAGATTTGGAGGATAAAAACAGGCCCGGTTCTCACCGGTCTCGGGTTTTAGCTCTGGTCGTGGGGACCGCAGCAGCTCCTCGGAGCTGAAAATCTCCTCCACCTCACACTGATACTCGACTGAAACTCTGCGAGGCGCCTGAGGACCAACCACAGAGGTGACGTCATCGTTCAGAACAGAAAAACAGCAAAGCGTCGCCCCAGAAACGAGCAGTCTCACCTGCGCGGCTCCTCGGAGCTCTACGCCCCGATGCCAGTCTGGACCGAGAGCGCTGCCGGGTCCTACGGAACCAGAACTCTGCCCGCCGGACTTCCTATCTGGCAATGATAAAAGCATGTTTAATTAAAGGCCTTGCATTCCTAGTAGAAGAAAATAGAGTTTTAAGGGTGTGAGAGATATTTTGCTAACAGACACACATGAATCATGATGACAGGCAAGAAAGAACTGGACCAGAACCAAAACAAACACTTACAAAGTAAATTAGATATTAGGTAATTGTTTCAAAGATCATCGGGGGATGTAGTTTTGAGTTTTTAAGAAGAACGGGTGTTTTGGGTAAACTGAACGTCTGATCCATCCTCCAATCTGGAAGGTGGAGGTAATGCACCTGAAAGTTGTTTGTCAACCGCCATTAAAAAGAAGAAGGAGAAGGAGAGCACTCCCACGGTACCAGGACCAGGACCAGGACTGGACCCCACTGATTTAACAGTTTGTTTCTCACTAGATGAAGATATTTGTTTCCTCGGTGTGAGATAAAAACCTGCAGTGAAGGTCTGAGCCGCGGCTCGTTCCGTGGTGTAGCGAGGTCTCCGACAAGGAGCGGCCGCCTTCGCCTTGTCGGCCTCCAGCGACGGGACGAGGAACTGCGCCGCTCCCGCGTCGAAGAAGGTGTTTCCGATGGCCTTGTCCTTCACCGCCCAGACCACCTCACACCCCTCCACTTCATACCTGGAAGAAAAACACCTCGCTGACACAAAACAAGCACAGAGTGGAGGACTTGTGAAGTTTTCTAAATAAAACACGGTATCTTATCCTGGAATTTCAGCCCGAAGCAGACTCACACCAATTCCAAGGCGATCCCTCCGTTTCCTACAACAACAATTCTCTTTGCTTTGGACAATCGCTTCTGAAACTCCTGAAACACAAAAAGAAGTTCCTCGTAAACATCCTGTAGCCTCAAAGAAGGAGGTCCAGTTTTATTTCTAGATATGAATAAACACGTTTAGTTAAAAAAATGGTTGAAATTTTTACATTTGTCAGTTTCGACTTGTGACCTTCCTTTAAAAGACAAATCTGTTTGCATCTGTGTTGTGAATTTATTAAAGCCCTTCGGTTTATCACAGAGAGATTGCAACTTTTAAACTGTGGTGTGACAATAACTATTTAGTTTTTGTAACAAGTGGAACCATCAGGGGTCGCTTCCTCCACATTGTGAGCTCCCATAAAAGGGAGGCTGTCAGGCTGGTGGCCAATTTGTCAATCTCCGGTGTTCGACCAGGTGTGTTGGCCCACGCGTTCCACTGTTTGTGATCAGGTTTGTGTGTTTGTTTTTTGTTGTAAAGAAAACACTCTTTTAATTTGATTATAGTAAGTCAGTGTTTGTGTGGTGTTTTTATATAGGGCCACACTTCATGTTTTGATCTGACGATTGCTACCTGGGCGTGTGGTTGGTCGACGCTGCAGGTAGGCTTTGTATATTTTTTTAATTGAATTGAATGGTTTTTATTGTAAAGATTTAATAGGCATTTGGTAATTTTTGTTTTGTTTTTTGCAGTTGTCGCTGCACCCTGCTGTCCTTTTTAGATTTTCTTTTTCTATTGTTTTTTTTTTTCATTTATTTTGTTTATTGTTTTTTGCAAATACACATTCTCTTATTTTGTAATAATAAATATTGTCTCTTTTATACTGGTTGTTTTATTGCACGAATAGTGGTCGTAACATTTTGAATTCTAGTAAAGCTAAAGAAATGATCTTTCATCCTAGGGGATTGAGAGCAGACGATTATGTGACCCTTGATGGAAATATTATTGAACAAGTGCACTCTTTTGAATACGTTGGTATTATTGTGTGCAACACTCTGTGCTGGAATGAACATGTTGATGATCTGTGCTCCAAACTAGCCCAGAGACCGCATTTTTTGCAAAGACTTAGGCTGTTTGGTGTCCAATCGAAGATCATGCAGACCTTCTATAATGCTGTTCTTGGCGGTATAATTAGATATGACTCGGGTGTTTTGTTCGGCTCACTTACTGTAAAGTCCAAGTATACACTCATTAATATAATGAAAACCTCAATGAAAATAACTGGGTCAAATTTTCAGCCTTTGCTGTTGCAGTCTGTCTATGAGGAGACTGTAATCAAACAGGCAAAAAGGATCTTGCAGGACCCGACTCATGTTCTGTTTGCAGATTATGAATTATTACCTTCGGGGAAACGCTACAGAGCTATTTGTTGCAAAGTTAACCGTTTTAAACTATCCTTTCTTCCATCGTCCATTTTTTCTTCTTAACAAATCTTGATTATTCTTTTTATCTTATTTGTTGTTTATGATATTGGTTTTTTAAGTAGAGCTGTGTCGGGATGTGAAATACGTTTATCTTTGGTGTGAATTCACTGTTTGTAGTTTCAGATGTCATGTTTCAGTTCAKCTGTTTTATTCATTGAGAATTATACTGAATTTTTGGTTTTTAATCTTAATGTGTTTGTATATCTTGCAGTCGCTGCACCTCTGCCTGCAACAAATTTCCCTTAGGGGACAACAAAGTATATCTTATCTTATCTTAAAGTTGTGCAACCTTAATGAGGGATTTAAGACAATTCTAAGAAGCAAGGGGGGAAATAAAGACAAACATCTTGTTTCCTGTAATCCAGCCTGTCTGTACATTCAGTAACATTCACAGGGATGAAGAGGAGTCATGATATAATATAAAAACAGGATAGCTGGGTTTACCTGGGCGCTKTCTGTGTCACGGATGCCCAACACGTAAGGGTTGTCTGGGGTAAGGAGCTTCGGTCTGGCTCCGCTGCACAAACACAGCTTTTTATAAGCAAAAACACGACCATCCACCGTTTCTACACACTGAGTAAAACGATAAGAAAAACAAAAATCTGATTTAATACCAAGTTGTGACTTCAATCTGTGAKTCTGCTGCAGCTGAATGACCACTAGATAGCAGCAGTGGACAGATAAAGAGGTGCAATGGATCACTACAATGAGTAAATAAAAATAAAACTTAAGAAGCGACATATCCTCACGTGTGAATGAGTGTGGAGGGATTTAACAGCAGACTGGATGATAGTCAGGTTGGGAAACTTCTCTTCCAGGACGCTGGTCGGTTTCTCCTCCACATCAAATTCCTCCAGGGTTTTAGACACCTTAAGACGAATCAAACGGAGATCAGGGTGTCAAAGAAAAAGCCAAAAACATCCTCTGCTGTCTTTTTTTTTTTTTTACCTGTTTGTAGTTAGTCACAGCCTTGATGTGAAGGCCTGCTGTAATCAGAGCCACGTCTGCTGACGGGAGCTCGGATGACAACTGTTGATGAATATTTATTAATTATTAATTTATTACAATATAAATTCATTTATTCACTGAGGTGAATGATTCGTTTTATGTTCACCTGCTCCACACATGTCACACCCGCAATGCCTCCTCCAACGACGACAAACTCGAACGTTTTCTCCGTTTTAGCTGCCATCGCTTCCTAATGCAACGCTAGCAGCTAACTCTTAGTTTTAAAGCATGTTTGGCGAAACATGAAGCACTCTAAAACCTAATTGTTATTTTTATTTATTTAAAAAATACTCACATGTTTGTTTAGTCACGTTCAAAACCCCAAATTAGTAACGATTTGATTGTCAATGTACGGACTTTTGTTAAAGCTAACCTAGTTTACTTAGCACCGATGAGAACGGAAAAGAGACAACTTCCGTGTTTACATTTAACTACGGCAAGTAGCGAGAGACGTTTCTCAAATGCGAAAAAACAACGCGCTTGAATTAAACAATTTCGAAATCATTAACATAAATGTAATACTTCTAATGTTGATTTAAAAATTATTACTGTAGTGACATTTTATACATGCAAGCCTGTGTTATTGAGGATTTCAGTTTTGATTAACATGTCTGTGTATTACATTTAAATGAAATTACTTTAATTTGATATCTGCTCAAAAACAAAAAACGATAAAGATTTGTGTGTTTGTTAGTAAAATATATCAAAATTAGATACGTGTTCATTTGAGGAATCTCAGGCCTTTAATTATAGTAAAAGTAAAACAGGAACATGTTTGTGACAAATAACTATTTCTATTAACATAATAAATTCATTTTTTGTTTATTTATTTTTTATTTAGGCAGGTAATCCCATTGAGATATGTAGTCTCATTTACAAGAGAGACCTGTGACACATATAATATCAGTTACACAAAAATCATGAACATCAAGTTACAGTTTGGGGAAAGCAGAGTTACACACAACCTAAAAGCATGAGCACGATTCAAATGATGTTTTTTGAATCATGCTCATGCTTTTAGTTTAAATGACTCTATAATAACCAAATAATGCCATAAAATAGGAAACCATTGCTGCCTGTTTGGTTGTTTACTATAAAAGTGGTTCAGTAATAAGAACAAGTTTCTGCTTTTTTGTTTGAAAATAAATAACCTTTAATGTCAGACGTTAATGTGATGATAAAATTCCATCAGAGCATTCATCAGCGATAATCACAGCTGCGATAAACAACTCTGCTGAGGACATTTGTGGCCTTCGGTGAAGTAATCGTCAGATCTCGACACGAAACCGCCGTCCTCTGCAGGAGTGTTTGCAGGATAATTGCTGCATTGTTTTGGGGATTCATCAGCACTTGTTCTATTTGTGGGGGGGGAAAACGTTTTTACGTGGGATTTAACCATGCAGGGATACTGGGGTCAGAGTCTGAGATGATCGGGTCATCGCTAATCAAACAGAGGTTGATGGTGTGCGTCACAGACCCACCCCCCTGGATTTTCATTACCCTAAATAACCGCCTGAGGAGGGCGACACATGTGGAGTACAGTGTTGTGATGACAGTTGTGCCATTAAAAGTAATGTGGGTAAACAATGACTAATAACCGCAGAGTGCTTTCGCTGCTCACCACTTTAGTTTGATGGGTTTAGGAGGAAACAGTGGCCCTGAATGTTTCAGCKGTGCAGATGGTTCTTAACTGAAAAAGATCATTTTAAATGTTARGAAATCTTTGTTGCATATTTTAGAGTTTGTGCAGAAACAAGATGCAGCTGACAGCTGTCAGCTGTCAGCAGGTTTAAAGTGGTTCATTATCCATTCATCCAATCATCCATCTAATCATCCATCCATTCATCCAACCATCCATCTAATCTTCCATCCATCCATCCATCCATTCATCCATCCAACCAACCATTTATCCAATCATCAATCTACAGGTGCTAGTCATAAAATTAGAATATCATGAAAAAGTAGATTTATTTCAGTAATTCCATTTAAAAAGTGAAACTTGTATATTATATTCATAC